AATGTCTGATTCTGGACGAAATCATTCATATCTCCGGTAAATTCGAAAGCACGTGACATTCGACTTCTTGTTCAATGCTGCAAACTATTGCTAAGTTTAGTACAAAGACGACTATCAATTAACATTAACCCGGTATGGCGTTATTTCTGAGTAAGCGTTAAATAATGGTAGTAGACTCTACATAGCAAATTTTTCGCGGCATTCGCGCACAATTCTGTGAATTTAAACAGTAAATTAAGTGAAAGTATTTCTCATATTTGAGAATCAATCAAGTTTTGCTGAGCGACAGACAGAAAAACTTAATTGTTTTAACATTAGGGATCGATACTACAGCTTAGTTTACATAAGTTAATTTTGTTAAGATTCTGATACTAATGATACTAATGAGAGTTTAATGTATAGTTAATTACTTCTGTACTCACATTATATATCAGCATTTAGTGTATATTTTAAGTGTATAAACATAATTTCTAATTCTGAAATTTCAGATAAATACCAGATTTTTGTAAAAATATGCGTGGATGCCGTGGAAAATTTGCTGCGTAGAATCTACTACCATTATTTAACGTTTACCCAGAAATAACGCCACACCTGGTTATTTAGATTTCATTGTAGATATAATTTATTTTCTTGAAAAATGATGTCAGGGAGATGAACAGCGGACCCATCTGTGCAATATCTGCGGGAAATCTTACAAAACAAAAACAGATTTGGATCGACACTATACAAAGCACACAGGTACAGTGCTCTTCTGAATAAAGCGGAATAATTTGTTTTTTGATTGAAGACTTAAAAGTCGTCTTTGACTGTAATTTGCGGCTTTCATTTTGCAACCTAATATTAGAAATATGTTTCATGAGACAATAATCACAAACCAAAATATGGTCTACCACTTTTTTGCTTTCACAATTATCAGAAATAAAAAATTGTTTACAAAATTAGGTGGCCCTATGCCCAATGATCATGCCGCAAACTATTTCAATAGTCAAAGACGACTTCCAAATCGTACTCAACCATAATTGAATTATTCCGGGNATACCAGGTGATTAAAGGACTTAATCTACATACCAGGTGACTAAAGGACTTAATCAACATACCAGGTGATTAAAGGACTTAATTAACATACCAGGTGATTAAAGGACTTATTCAACCTACCAGGTGATTAAAGGACTTAATTAACATACTAGGTGATTAAAGGACTTAATTAACATACCAGGTTATTAAAGGACTTAACATACCAGGTGGTTAAAGGACTTAATCAACATACTAGATGATTAAAGGACTTAATCTACATACCAGGTGATTAAAGGACTTAATCAACATACCATGTGATTGAAGGACTTAATTAACATACCAGGTTATTAAAGGAATTAATCTACATACCAGGTGATTAAAGGAATTAATAAACATACCAGGTGATTAAAGGACTTAATCTACATACCAGGTGACTAAAGGACTTAATCAACATACCAGGTGATTAAAGGACTTAACCAACATACCAGGTGATCAAAGGAATTAATCAACATACCAGGGGATTAAAGGACTTAATCAACATACATGGGGATTTAAGGACTTAATCAACATACCAGGTGATTAAAGGACTTAATCAACATACCAGGTGATTAAAGGACTTAATCAACATACCAGGTGACTAAATGACTTAATCAACATACCAGGTGATTAAAGGACTTAATCAACATACCAGGTGACTAAAGGACTTAATCAACATACCAGGTGATTAAAGGACTTAATCTACATACCAGGTGACTAAAGGACTTAATCAACATACCAGGTGATTAAAGGACTTAATTAACATACCAGGTGATTAAAGGACTTATTCAACCTACCAGGTGATTAAAGGACTTAATTAACATACTAGGTGATTAAAGGACTTAATCAACATACCAGGGGATTAAAGGATTTAAATTGGAGTTGATTGTCAATAAAAAATTGAAAAAAAATTATAAATTAATTGGTCAGTTTTAAAGAAGAATTACTCAATTGATTGATAGATTAATTAATTAATTGGATTAAAGAATTTGGAAATAATTGAATAAATTAATGAATCAAATAAAGAAAGAGAAGTTAAGAATTGATGAACATTTTTTACATTTTTAGAACCCATTCTGGTGTAAAACCGTTCCAGTGTCCTCTTTGTTCTTACGACTGTACTAGGTATGATAATGATAATGATAACGATAGCGATAACGATAACGATAACGATAACGATAACGATAACGATAACGATAACGATAACGAGAACGATAACGATAACGATAATGATAATGATAATGATAATGATTACGATAATGATAACTATAATGATAATGATAATGATAAAGATTACGATAATGATTATGATAATGATTACGATAATGATTATGATAATGATTATGATTATGATTATGATAATAATGATAATGATAACAATAACTATAACGATAAATTCATTAATTGAGTTTATCTATTTAGGAAGGATAATTTACGGAAACATATCAGGTAAAGTGATTTGATTAATCCATTCAGTTTATTAAATTATAATTAATCGAAACTAGAGACACTTGGTGTTGAAATTCTGAACTATTTAGAGGAACCCACAAGTACACAGATGACAGATTAAATCAGCTGGAGGCAGCGGAACAGGGGTTCAAGAAAGGAGTGCCTGAAAACTCGCAATAACCAAAAATTTCTGGAATTGTAATTTATAAAAGTGGCTTATGTAGTTGTTGATTTAATAGTCAGCTTAGTAAAATAAAAGAAATCAATAAGGTTATTTATTAACATTTATTGAAATGTTTAAAGTGCAAAATGAAAATGAAAATGAAAATGTTTTAAAATAGTTTTTTCAGTGGGACTAAATTGGCTGATTAGAAAAAAAAATAAGGAACTATTGACGAATATATGCGATCACATCATAGGAGCGTTGTAGAGCTTCATGTTGGTGGTGCAGGTCAACAGTAACTTGAACAACAGGGCTCACCCCCATTCAGGGCTGAGAGATTGTGGCTTATCAGTCATGGCTTGAGCGATTATGATGATAAATAAACCACTACCCACACAGATTAGACTTCAAAGACGACTGTGCGGAATTTACGCCGTTTTTTTAAATTCTTGGTTTCCTGAATCTGTTAACTTGTTTTTTCTTTATCAAATCTTTATGCATGTATTATGTATTCAGAAGCCAAAGTTTTGCCTTCTAAACGATATAACTTATATATTTAAAGATTTTTTAGTCGTCGTTACAGTTTCATTTTTCTTGGTAACTCTGTATCCAACTATAAATTTGTTGTAATAATGATGTAAAAAGTTGTGTTTCTTATCTTGGGAAAACTATATATATATACTTTGCTTGTCTTGGTGTCTTGTCTGTTTGTATGTTTGTTTGTATCCAATAAACGTCAAAGCGGCTGAACCGATCGGGCCCGAATTTTGTGTGGGACTTTACATGACCCCAGAGAAGGTTTATGGATGATCAAAATTACGAACTTTGATTTCATGAAATTTGGAAAATCCGCGAAAATTTTTTTTTAATCTTTTCCTTCCCTCTGCAGATTATAGGAAAGGAGCGCGAACCGCCCTAAAGCGTAGTCTATACATATAGAAGTAACCTCTGTTTGGGGTGTCTGCTTGTCTTTTTGTTTGTGTGTCCGATCATAACCAAGAAGCTCTTTTGACCGATTTGTTTCAAAGCTTGATTGAGAGAGAACCCGAGAATGTTCTTAGCTTGGATTGAATAAAGTCAGACAGGTTTAGTTTGCAGGCAAGAGATTCAAGGACTACACTAAATTACATAATATATTTTTAAAAGTTGTTTTTCTCTTCTTTAAATCTATAAATTTGTGCAATTTACACAATTGCCTATATTGTATTTGATGTTGTGATAATTAAATAGTTTTACTATTAGTAAGTAAATGAATTAATAGGTATGCGTATTGCGTACACTGTACAAGTACAGCGTACTTCACATTGCCGTGTTTCATGTTCCACGTGGATTTAAAGGTTCTGTCAATATTCCAGAAAGTTGTGCCTTTCAATTACAATTTAACCCTTTAAACATAATTTTGTTGCCTTTTTTCTGGTATCATTTCTTGCCGACTTATACTTATACGCATATGACTTTTAAGTAGAAGAAACCGAACGCTTCTCACTCTGGTTAGTCCTGGGGTGGTTCAGTGNATCAATCTACATCTATCTATCTATTTACATGCATTTTTATGTATCTGTCTATCTATCTTTATCTAAATAAATACTCATTAAAGCTTTTCTTAAGTGAATTTAATGTTGTTTCAAAGAAAAGAAATATTAGTAACTTATTAAATCATTTATTAGTGAAATAATTCTGTTTACACTTCACAGTTGTCTGTGGACTAATATTTTAAGTTATAACTTGAGTCTAAAAGTCCTAATCTGCAGAGTGTTCTAGCTGGTTCTCACTCTAACCATTTTATGTCTGTCTGTTAATACATCTGTCTGTTTTTATGTATGCTTATTTGTCTTCCTTTCTCTTAATTTTCTGTTTATACACTATACAGGGAGTTTAAATGTCAATTTTAAAAGCTAGTTAATAACTCTGTTTTTAAAGATATCTAAGTTCTCTCAAAAGCTATTAAAATATGAGATTGGCAATTAACATGAACTATTGAAGTAGAAATGTTCGCAACGCCCGCCATCTTAAGGTATAGAGAATTTCGACTCTGTCCAAGGTTGTAATGCAAGGAAAGTTAATTGCTGTCGCGTATACTCTGCGGACATATTGAAACCAGTTCTCTCTGGGCGAAATTTGTAAACAAGAATAGATGCATAAGTGTTCGTTTAGTATATCCGAGGAGGTTAAAAGCATTAAATTTTGATCATTTTTTATAATTCACATAATAGTTTCCTATGACAAGAATATTTCATTGATTTTTTTTATGTGAAAGATGGATCCCATGTCAGGCTTTGACATCCGTCTTGTGTTTACATTACCGCCCAGAGACAGTACANATATAATCAGACTTGGGACTAACCCTGAGGGTCCTAACCTGTTAGAACAAGAGCTAGAAGATATAGCTGACAAAAAGACTGATTCGCAAGAAAAAGGAAACTTAAAACAATGGATCGGAAATCGTAGAGGAGCTGTGTATGAGAGATTAGTTTGGGATTATCTGATGAGAACCCCGGAGAGTGTACGGTCTGCCCTTTTCTATGGATTTAAGAGAGAGATGTTTCTCAGGTTTACTACGAACGCTCCAACCTACAACGTAAATCAGGAATATGATTTTATTCTTATTCTTCCTGAGTACAAGCTGATGCTCTTCTTAGAGGTTAAAGCGGATCCCAAAGGAAACTCTAAATGGGAAAAACAATTGATCAAAGCTAATGACCTATTTAAAGAGCTTCTGGAGTATGTGGGGGAAGACACGAACACTACTGAGTGGACTTTCCTTCCTGTGGGAGTTTATCCTAATGTGTCTCAGCAGGTATTGTCAATGAATGTATTTTATTTTTAACCTTCAAAGATTATTTTCTAATCCCTGCAATATTTGTTTTTAAATATAATTTTTTTTCTTTCGTGTTTTATCATTTTTCGTAATTTTCATTTGGAAAGAAGAGGGAACATCAAAGCCATGTTTTACCCATTATAGACTTTTAGATGAATTTTAGGCTGAGCTCTATTATATCGTTATTCGTTATTTTTCTGGAGCTATAACTTTTTTAATCATAAGGTATAGAATATTTTGCTTTAATGAATAACATGACAGTCTAATGTTAAAAAAATTATGTGTGATTTCTATTTTAAGTGCAAGGTCAACAAGTTTAATGTGACAGAGCTGAAGAATGCACTTCTGTTCATCGACATGTTATGATGAATCGTTTTTTCAAATATTCAAATGATAAGTCTAACGTTAAAAAAATGGATTGTGAATGATATGGTCATAAAAAGCCACCTGTTTAAATTTCAATACACTCTTAGAAATGTCAAATTTGTTGGAGCACTTGAGCCGAATTCAACTTAGTCACACAATTCCTTAAATGTTAATGAAAAATTAGTTTTATTTAACAAAATTTGACATAAAATAAAAATATGACATTTGTTAGTAAAGTTACATTGCAACAAAAAACAAAAACAATCATGCAATTCTTCCAATTCAAAACTCTTTAACCCTAGGGTTTGCAGCGAACGAAACGTTTCGCGAATAAATACGAAAATTTTCGCGAAAATTCGCATTTTTCGCGAAAATGTATGAAGCGAAA